AACTCTCTCCAATGGATGAATTGATAATTCTGCTTTCCTGAACTATCGAGAACTGAATGCATAGGTTCCAGCATCACATTGTTAAAGGCTTCAAGGCCTTCAAGTCAAGGAACGCAGCCAATGTGTAATCGGAGTTCTCGATTTGCCCGACCACCTCAATTAAGGCAGTGTCCACCGATTTGTCTTTGATATAAGCATGCTGCAATTTGATAATTTTATTTGGATTTATAATGTTCCTAATTTCAGAGTCTTTAACCTTTCCAGAGTCTTAAGTAAAAAGGCTAATTGGTATATAGACCTTAGGTAACGTATGACTCGACATTTCATGGATGAAAGTCACCGTTACCTCTTTCCATAGACTTGGTATATGAGATAAAATCAGACAAGCCCTATAAATCCCCGGTAGAGTGACCAACAATTAGATATTACTCTACCGCTTAGCTTTACTTGAGTGTCGCACTACATCAACAAATTCTATGGACTGGTCACATATATCTACAGGATCATAATTAAGGCTATCTGGCTGCAGCGTCAATAAAATTTTATTTATTTAAAATTTTGCAAATTCTTTTTTTTGGGATTCTCTGTAGCCTCTTTTATTTGGCGGCAAATTCTCTTATACATAACTTAAGAAACTAAAAACTTAAATCTATTTATTTATAAATTTCCACTTATGTTAATAATGTAATGCAACAAAATTAGCCAATTTAGTTTATGATACTTGAAAATGCATATTTTTGAAATTTCGATAAGGAAGCTAGGATGATGCATATGTATATGTTGTTGCTATACTAATGATGCAGATCCCATAACTTTTTCAAAAGTCTCTGCTTTTACATGATAATTTATCTCCTCCACCTCCTCATTCTCAACTATCTCTTACTATAGAACTTCTTAATTTGTGCCAATGGCAGATAATCTTCTAAATTCATTCGCTTAATATTAACATAACAGCGTCGCGTGTGTTTATGGGCATCCGACAAATGTACCCATTTGGAGCGCTGAACACCATAGACCCTTTTAGCAGCAGGAGCTGCAGCAGCACCACCACCATCACTGTTGCTATTCATAAGTCTTCTTTGCCTCCATGCCCTCTCGAATACCGGCTTGAATCCAATATCTTTGAGTAGTTCATCAGCTTCCTGATTGGCCTGACGCGTTTCAGTTGCATCTAACTTTTTGATTTGTTTGCTATCCACTTCCGCCTTAAACAAAACCTGCAACACATCTTTTTCCAAAGCCAAACGCTTATCCAGCGGTAATTTTGCAATTTCCGGCATATAGTCTTGCAGAAGATTTTGTACCGGTGTATTGGGTTTTTGATGACAATTCGATCGTGGGTCTTCCAATTCGGTATTGATGTGTAATACTGATTGTCGCAGTGAGCTGGGTATGGCCTGCAGGTCGTAGGCCTTACTGAGACATTGTATAAGGGGTTTCAGAACTTGCCATCGGTTAATTAAATCGGTGATGGAAAAGGCAGCGAAAGGATCATTTTCATAGCTGCGATTAAAGGCGGCATTAATACGTTTCCATGCCCACATGGAGTAATCAGGATCACCATATGACCTCACTCGAGGATTGTAGATGAAGGGATATTGTTGTATCAGTTCCAGAAGTTTGCCATCGTTGAGCACTGTTTTACCCTGGGCATTGACATTGGAAATGTTGAGAACTTGAATGCCACGGCCGCCGTCACCACCCACCATGTTGGATGTTGTTCCCAGAATTTTGGAAGGATTTTTCGAAATACACTGTGGGAGTAGAATAAGACGTCAATTCGTATGTTGTATCTGCAGGAATCGATAAAACTTCCTTTGAGAAGTTTCAGCCTAAATAAACCTAACTAGTTTAAAAACGTTCCACAGCTCTTAATATAGGAAAATAGGAGAGAATGACTGATAAAAATCCAAAGTGAAACAAAATAGTGAGAGGCAGGTATTGTTTACGAATGAGGGTCATAAGACAATCGAGATAAGTTCTCCTTAAATAATAGGGATACGTAAGTCGATGTTCGGCTAATCGAATATTATTTGGTTTGCCAAAAGGTGTAATTTTGCTATTCAAAGAAAATACAGTTGTTGATATAAAACTTCTGATCTTAAATTCAATGTGAAGAGAAATGAAAAGCTTATGTTGAATTTAGGGGAATATATCGAGACCCCAGCAACGGACAAGGATTCAAAGGTCGAACTGCCCGAAAAGCATCCGATGCGAAGCACTACAAACGTGCTGTATCTTCGCAGAGCCCTGTCTCGAAGCCGGATTCTACGCCGAGTGACAAAGGTGAAGCGGTTGGTACTAAGGCTTTGAGTAGTATGCTCTGAGTCAAAATAAGAAGAAGTTCAAGTCCGGCAAGGAACCATCGTCTTCTGGAAAGCGTATACTGCCCCGCAGAATAAATCTGTTAAGCGCATTCGCTCATCAGAAGGTCCGCAACCTTCACCCAAATCGAGATATTTCCTTCTTTAGAACTGTTGACGGCTTTGGCGCACTCTGGGAAGGGGCCAACATTGTTGGCCCCAATCAGACAGATCCTCTCAGCTTGGGTTCCCACACCTTCGGTGGACAAGGAGCTCCTGCCAAAAATGTTGGCGCTGCAGAATCTCAACCTCACTACCTTTATTTGAACTGTTGTCAGTCTAACTCCTTGTAACGATGAAGAAGGGATGGTTGCCGCAGTAGCTTTTGACCCATCTGGGGACGGCTATCTTAAGGAGCGTGAGGGAAAATTGAACTTCGGTTCAGGATGGGTTCGGTTTCGACTGAGCGCCACCCACGAAACTCAATAAGAGTAGGAAAGGCACAAAGGCTGCGCATCCAGCAGATTAATCTGCATCACTGCAAAGCCGCCGCTGCCGAACTACTCTTGTCGCTCACGAGCTCAGAAGTGGACATCGTCTGTATTCTTTTAATAAATCTTTCAAAGTTCCCATCTCTGCTCAGCCAATATAACATGGAACGTTTTTTGTGGGATTAGGTCTTTGTACGAATTGTTGCCACTCGTTTCCTATTACAAAATGTAAACTTTGGCAACCCTGTAATAGGTTATCAAAACTTTGTGAACTTTTGCAATAGAATTGTGAAAATTTTGAAGATTCGGAAGTATTTTAGGAAGCTGATTACAAAGTATTAGTCTAACTTATTTGTATTTCAATACTCCAAGGGACTAGACGGTCATTCGGACAAAAACCATGGCAGCACAACAAATCAAGGTATGTTTTTAGACACGCGATTTACATTTTGGGGAATACGACCTGACATACTATATACATATATAACTACCGGCAAAAATAAACATGAGCCTTACCGGCAAATAGAGACCGTAGTGTTGAACCAAATTATATAGGTGAGAGTTATGAAAAATCTGGAGATTTAATTGAACCCTCAGAATGACAAGGCTATTATGAACTTTTTAACCTATTTGGAAACCGGAACGTTAAAGGTAGTCATGTATTCACCTAGTTATGACCCTTATACAGTGAACTCTCGATGATAAAGTATTAACATTAAAGTATTAAAAAAATAGGGATTTAGCGGTAAATAAGCTGGTCGAATCGAAAATGTGAACAAATTCGAAAATATGAACTACGACGTCATTAATTAGTTCAGATTTTCGAGGGTTCACTGCATTGGATAGTTCACTGTATATACTAATTCGCACGAGTCCACATAAAAATAATGGACCTTATGTGGGAAGGCACCTACTAGGATGAGGTGACCTATATAGAATTTCTTTGTATATATGTTCAGTATAAATAAATATATTTTTATATACTTATGCATAATTTCAGATTGGTATTATTGGTGGTTCCGGTTTAGATGATCCAGATATTTTAGAAAATCGTCGCAAAACAACTGTTACCACACCATACGGCAATCCCTCTGATGTCCTTATAGAAGGAGAAATTCAAGGTGTCAAATGTGTATTATTGGCGCGACATGGACGTAAACACAATATTATGCCCTCCAATGTGAATTATCGTGCTAATGTCTGGGCCCTAAAACAGGCTGGTTGTACACATCTGCTGGTGTCCACAGCATGCGGATCATTGCGTGAAGAAATAAAACCCGGCACCTTGGTTATACCCAATGATTTTATTGATCGCACAACAAAGCGTTGTCAAACATTCCATGATGGTGCGGCGGATAGTCCTCAGGGGGTTTGCCATCTGCCCATGTATCCAGCATTTAATGAACGTTGTAGACAAATTCTATTGCAAACTGTCAAAGAATTGGGTTTCAATGTTCACGATAAGGCCACAATGGTGACAATTGAGGGGCCAAGATTTTCATCACGTGCCGAAAGTAATATGTTCCGTCAATGGGGCGGCGATCTTATCAATATGACAACATGCCCTGAAGTTGTGTTGGCTAAAGAGGCTGGTTTAATGTATGCTGCTGTTGCCATAGCTACAGATTATGATTGTTGGCGTGAGGGTTGTGAGAGTGTCAATGTACAAGATGTTTTGAAAACATTCTCGGAGAATGTTGAAAAAGTCAAGCAGATATTGGTGAAGGCCGTGGTTAAAGTGGCGGCCGAGGATTGGTCTGAAGCCATTACAGAGGCAAAGGTTTGTGGTATTTTGAAGGAAAATATGTGTAATTAATAATTAATTTGACTTTTTTGTCTTTTAGCAATGTGTGGTTAACAACACCATGGGTGGCAAATGAAAATAGTTGCCAAATGTGAAATCTCTCTGTTTTGTCCAGTTAATGTTTTATGCATTTATTTTTCCTATGAAATAAATACTTCCAAAGATCCAAAAATTAAAAAAAAAACTATTGTGTATTTTATATATCCCATTTTATTTCGTGTCTTTGTTTATTAGAAAAAATCTACCCCCCAAACATTTAATCATTGTTTTTGTTTTCTTGTCTTGTGTTGTTGTTGGCATTTCTTAATCTATTTTTAAGGACATTTCCTTTCCACTTGACTTTTACCCGATTCTTCATATTCCTGAGAAGATATCCACATTTGTTGGAATGTACCAATGGATGCCAATATTGAGCCACCAATCCAGGCACCGAATCGTCGCTCAACACTACCATTTGCGGAAATCATTTTCAGTCGAGTATTGGATGGAGCTCGCAGCTGCAGATCACGATTTAATCGTTCCGGAAAGCCTTGTAATAATGTGTTGCCACCTGTAAAATTGGAAGGATTATTGTAATGAAGGAATCAATAATGTATTGTATTGAGTATGAATAAACTATAGGATTAGGGGGTTGGAGTTCTGATCAGAAAAGAACTTTCTCTCACTTGACCAGGACTGGCAAAATAAAAAAATGGGCATTAATTGTCGCCAAGCGTCTGCATCGGCCAATAATGTGCTAGCGTTTGTAACTCTCTTTAAAAATAAGATCCTTTATTCGGGTTAAAGATCAGCATCGTTTAGCGCTCTTGATCTCGATATTCACCGGAAATCCCATCCATAAAGCAATGGCAGGCGTGATCCCAAAAATAGCAGCCAATGTCGGGTTTGAATTCCACTCCTCATGTCCACTGTGTTCTGAGGAGATACCTTCTTGCTGTCCTTTGCAGGAGGTGACCAAGATTTTTTTAACCTGTCTTTCACAGATATCACGAAAAGACAATCGAACGTTAAAGAGTAATTGGTGTCGGGATCTGTTCTACATCGACCATTATGTTCTGTGGGTGCTTCATTTGAACCGTCCAAGTTGTGGGCAGTGTAGCTGTCGGTTTAGTGCGAATATCTTTTCCTCAGATGGAAGTTCCACACACATATATTTAACAATTTTCAGTACTTTTCTACTAAATTGATATTTTTCAATACTGACAGGATAGAAAATTCGTCTACTAAAAAATTCAATATGGGCCCATGGTTAAATAAAGCGCCTAATGAATAGTAACCCCAATTTTTGGTAATTTTAGAAGATATTCGGATTTTAGGAGAATTGTTAAAAAACTGCTTAAAGTTCGTATTTTTGGTGCCCATTGGATAAGAAATTCATCTGCCATGAAAGAAAAATTTTTACCCATTTATTACAGGTGAACATTTGTTTATTTCAGATTGGGAAATATTTGGACTATTTTTTCAGAAATATTGCCTTCTTGATAGGGAAGTTGATTGGTTTCAGAATTGGAATTTTCAAGCTAATCAAATCAAAATGAAGACAGATAAACGTAACTTTAAAGCACTGTGAATCAAAGTATTTCTTTTTGAAAACTTTTTATGGTAACCAGTGATAATTCGGTATACCCTGAACCCCCATTTACAACATTTTATACAATTCCAAATATCTCCCTATTATCCCCGAACATATCCCTCGAATTAAAAAAAAAAATATTTAAAAAAGTATAAAACAGATTTACAAAACTTACCCGTCACCACAACAGAACCATACAGCGATAAACGTACATCAGCATCACACATACCAACACTTGTTGATGCCAATTGACCCGCACCCAGCGGTGCATGATCAAACAAACTTTCGGCCAATTTAAAACGTTCTGAACCGAATTCTTGATGATAGCCCGTTGGAAATTCATAGTGTACGGTGGGTATTTGTGAAGCCACTCGTTCGTCATAGGGATTTTCCAATACTTGTAAAATATTCATTTGGAAATCTTGCAATAATAATTTTTGCATATAATTCTGCCATGATTGTGTTAAATTATCTGGGATTTTACGTGTTGTAAAACGTGGATTATCCCGTTCTTTGACGACATCTTTGGAAGCTATTTGATATGAGGGTGTTAAATCAATACCAATTTTTTCCAAATGTTGGCGACATTGCATCGATAGGTAATCACCACCTAAAGGAGATTTAACCACCGCCTGGGATAGTACATAACCTTCGTGAACGGGAACAGCAGAGGTATGTGTTGCACCACTATCTACCACCAAGGCAGTGGCACGTCCACTGGCAAATGCAGCCAACACTGCATTTTTTACCAAAAAGAAAGCCGGTACATTGTATTTTTCAAACATCAGCTCGGTTAGTTTTTCACGATTGTTGCGAACATTCCACGATGCCTCGGAAAACAATACTGGATGATATTCAGGTTCCGATTGTATTACCTTGGCATAGGCATAATCTATAACCTTTTCGAATAGATCCCAATTGTCAATCATGCCATCCTTCATATATGTTTGAATTTCCATTTGGGAACGTGGTACATTTATATACGTGGTATCCACATAATACTTATGCGATGGAGCATCTGTAAAAAAGAAAGAAAATGTGTATTCTTATATCTGAAAGGACTACCCTAAGTCCAGTACTTACTATTCTGTGTAACATTATTATCAGTTTTTGTCTCCAAATCCATATTTGTATCCGGTGCACTTGGTCCAACTCCCACAACAGAGGGTATTTCGGCTTTTGGTGTATCCTCTTGGGCATAACCCACTCTCAGCGAATGATGGCCAGGATCAAAAACTAATGCACCAATTTCATCACCACCGTATAGCATGTTGCCGGAACTCATTGTGTGACTATGTTTTAAAGGTTTTTAATTATTATTTTCTTTTTAAAATGTGTAACTTTTCCTGCGATTTTTTTTTGCATACACACGATTGTCAAATAATGCCGCTTGTTTATGCTAGGGATAGATAAACGCTTAGAGTTGAGTAGTTCCGAGAAAGGAACGATCGGAACTAGTTCCAGCTCTTTAATTAATATAGTTCCTTTCTCTGATCTAGTTCCTTTTTTGAACTATTTGAGGCAAAGGAACTGTATGGAGCAAAGGAACTATAAAGAGCAAAGGAACTATATATGGAAAAACGAAAAAAAAAGAATGATGAAAGAGAGATTCAAAAGAACTATGTAGGAGTCGGAATTATATGTAGCAAAAGAACTATTTGGAGCAAGGAACTGTATGGAGTAAAGGAATTATATGGAGCAAAGGTACTATACGGTTGTACAATGAGAGGGAAGCCTCCAAGACTCCAGTCTTCATAAAATTCGCTTGTTAATCGTCGTTCTGCCAAGACTCAAGCGACGTCGTACGCAAACGTTCGCCAACAATTTGTCTGTTCCAGTACTTTTTTAATAGTAAAGCTAGTAAAAGGGAAACATTTCAAAATAAGTCTCAGAGTACAAAATAATTTGAAAAGTTCGGGAACGCAAATCTAGTAAATATGCCAAAATTAGATGGCAATTCTTCAAAATCAACATAACAGCCAATCAGAAGTAGGCATTCCTGTTTACAATTTTTACTCGGCCAAATTTCTCGAGTAAAAAGTTTACAAAGAGAAAGCCATTTTGTTTTGTGCTCTCTTAAACTCCTTGTACATTAGAACTTTTTACCGGGTTAACCTACTTTATGAGGATTTATTTGACATATATGCAAAGGAAATGACAATTGAAACCCACTGGGTTAACGAAATCCGGTTAAAGGTAAACGTACTGTTAAATTTGATTCAATGTTTTACCAGTTTTATGGATTCAGGAACGTTTTTCGAGTAAAAAGTTAAAATTAGTAGATTCTTTTAGGTTCTGGAACGGAGCTAAAATAAAAACGACGACTAAAAAAATTGAAAACGTTCCAACGTGCTATCGAATGGGAGGAGAAGACAAAATGGCCGATAAAGATGAACTCAAAATGGTATAACCGGTACAGACTAGCGTTGCTCCCTCTCTCATTCGTGGTTCGACCCTTAATTATGAAGTAATTACATAGTTCCCCATACAAAATTGTCTGAGCGAACACCGACTTTTGTACGTTGTTCAATTCGAATCACTCTCTGAATAACCAAGAAATTTGTCCCATCCCTAACAATTGAGAGTATTTATCGAAATAAATTAATTTTGACAGCCTGAAAATATTTATAAAATTTTCAAACTTTGTAGGGTAGATTGGGTAGATCCGGAACGAAAACTAGATCATTGGAACTATTCCGAGAAAGGAACGATAAGAACTAGTTCCAGCTCTTTAATTAATTTAATTAATATAGTTCCTTTTTCTGATCCAGTTCTTTATTTGAAATATTTGAAGCCAAGGAACTATATGGAGCAAAGGAACTATAAAGAGCAAAGGAGCTGTAAGGAGTAAAGGAACTATATGGATCAAAGGAACTATTGGAAGCAAAGGAACTATAAAGAGCAAAGGAACCATGGTATAATAATTACAAGGTAGGGCACAGCTACCAACTGATTACATTTTTTTTCTCAAGGTGGCGTGTTCCATCAAATCAAAATACATATTTTGTGTATGTGTGTGTATTGTTTTGAATACAATGTCAAATAAATTCAAAATAAATTGAAATATATTCAAATTTAATAAAATGAAAATAAAGTTTTTAACACGTTCTTCTGGAAGTAATTACTTTGTTATGGATGAAACAACCATTTTATGGTTTTCCCTATTGGATTTTGGGAAGAAATCATAACCTTTCATTCAATTTTCGCGTTTTTAGTTTTGTGTTGAAAAAATGTCAAATAAACACAAACACTTGGTGTGTATATTTATTTTTGGCAGAAGAGGCCGCACGTGCATAGTTGCTTTTTTGTTATTCACCCCATGAAAGGAACTGTATAGAGTAAAGGAACTATAAAGAGCAAAGGACTGTATGAAATAAAGGAACTATATGTGGAGCAAAGGAACTACATTAAGGAACTAGTTCATTTTTAATAAAGGAACGAGAAAGATCGATCTGCTACGTGAACTAGATTGCCCCACTCTAATGCCGCTTGTTTATGCTAGGGATAAGTAAATCGAATTTGGACTAATCGATTTATCGACTTCTGTGTATTGAAAAGTCCATGATTCTAAGATCTATTAATAAGGTCACCAAGATAGCAATCGAAATCGGAAACAGCTGTCTTTTCTCAAGTCTAATGTCAAAAATTTCGACTTTGTTTACGTTTTCATAATAGAAGTCAATTCACAATAATGCATTTTGACAGCAAACTTGAGAGGTATCGATAATCAGCTGGTCTCCTTTGGTGACCTTATTTATAGGCCATGCATGATCCATGAAACTGGTCGTGTCAGAAACAATCGTTATCGACCATTTTGGATTAAAATCCCCCAAGCTGTCAATTTTTTACGTTTTCACACAATTAAGTCAATAGTATGTTACCGTACTGCAAGAATCTACTCGATTTTATTATTTTCTTCGATATCATAAAGGAAAATTCGTTATCGTAGAAGAAAGTAGTAGATTCTTGCAGTGCGGGAACAGACCACAAAATTTAAATCATTTTGACAGCTCGGGTTAAAACATCTGGCCTTATTGAACGACCTTATTATTGGTTCATGGAAAAGTCAAAGTCGACTTTTCACTTCCTTTTCGACTTCCTCTTTTCAAGATCGACTTTCGATTTACTTTATAAATACTTGGTTTAATATCCCAAAGACACAAAAAAAAACAAAAAAAAAAAAAAACGAAGAATGGTAGATCCCTGTTGCAATAATACAAGGAAAGACAACTTCAGGGGAATACCAAAAAAAGCAACTTTGTAAGTAGTGGCTTCTTCTGTCAAATATGAACAAAATATACGCAATTTAACATTTTTTCAAAACATAAAGCGAAAAAATTATGAAAGGCTATGATTTCTTCTAAAATCCAGTAGGGCATAGCATTAAATGTTTCTTTCATTCATAAAAAGGGCGCAAATCATTTTCATGTCAATTAAATTTGAATATATTTTTAATTATTTGACAAGGTATTTAAAACACACGTACACAAATGGTCTGTTCCTGTACTGCAATTTTTTCCTATATCATAATGGAAAAAAGTGTTATCGTAGTAAAAAATATTAGATTCTTGCAGTACGGGAACAGGCCAAAAATATGTATTTTGAGTTGATAACTTGTAATAATGGAAAATTATCGTAATTAATGACTTTTTTAAAATAAATAATACAGTGTATTTTTATTATTAGATTTTTAACATTCATTAATAATTATTAAAAGTATAAAGAATCATTCAAAATTATTCATCGTTGCTGCTGTCAACAAGCTCCGTTAATGCCACGATTTGATCATTGAAATACTGATATAGAACTGTAACGGCGATTGAAAATAGCATCAGCACCTCGATCTAAAAATAAATAAAAGTTATAAATTTATAAATAAAAGTGTTAAATTTATTAAAAAAAATATAAAATCATTAATTTTGAAAGTTGGTTTGTCTAACTTACTATAATAAAATTCCATATTTTAAAGTTCACTACATTGAACAGCTTTAATTTGATATTTTCCCTTAACACTCGTTTAATGTTTTTCAAAATATCAACCTTTTCTTCTGACAACGAGTTTTTGAGTTCGAGCACATTATTAATCTGCTTACAAAAATGATTTTTCTGAAAATAGAATGAAAGTAAATAATATAAAAAAACACCTATATTATTATGCTAAATCGAGATAATTAGAAAAATGTGTTTTATTACAATAATTTAAAAGAGCAAATGCTTTTATGTTTTTATATTAATCTAACAAAAAGCAATTTTGATCAAAATTATTAAAATATTGATTGAAAACTTCCCGCAAAAATTATGAAACCCGTGAAATATGTATGTTTTTGTAAACTAAGTTAAGTAACAGCTGACAAATCAAGGCTATAACATTCCAATACTGGTCTAAACTGCTAGGGCTTTGTACTTCGATCTATCCTATGCTAAATCGAGGTAATTTCAAATACAACCCTGCTTTTGCATAAAGTATGCTACGAAATATATTACAACTCAAAATATTTGTCTAACAAAAATATGGATGCTGGTGAAAATTTGTTTTTCTTAGTCTATAATGAACATTGCAATACTCCTAGATTTTTTAACATAATTTGTCAATTTCATTGTATATATGCCAAATAAATAGGAATTTGAATTTCGTTGACATAGAGGCGAAAGTTCACCAAGTAAACTGGGATCGTTTATACGGCCTCATTTCTGTCGATCAACAAGTCGAATTTCTCACAGAAAATATACTTACACTATATAACGAAACTGTTCCTGTCAGATCTAAGAGGATATCACCTAAAATAAAACCTTGGTTCAACTCGTCTATTAAAACATGTATTGACGAAATAGATACAGCTTACTCTAGATGGAAGCGTTTTAAAACGCCAGAGCTTTATGAGGTTTTCCGTTCCGCCCGAAGAAGAGTTAATAGCCGCATTAACATCGCAAAATCCAATTATTTTCACACAAAATTTAGATCTGCGCTTGATTCAAAAATTAAATGGAAAGTTGTCAATGACATTGGTCTAGGAAAATGTATGGCTCGCGAAACGTATCATGGTGATCTGGACGAACTCAATGAAAAGTTTATTAACGTACCTTCTCTAGACACTGATCCGTCTTACTATGGATTTAACTCAGGAACATTAAATGATCTATCTAGTGATGGGAATTTTGAATTTCACGGTGTTTCAAATAATGAAGTTCTAAAATGCTTTAAAGAAGTTACTTCTAACGCCATTGGTCCTGACGGAATTGACCCTAAGTTTGTACGAATACAACTCCCTTCTGTACTGCCATACATAACATATCTCTTTAATTCCATACTCACTTCCAGCACATTTCCTAGTCGTTGGAAGCATGCAAAGATCATACCTATACCAAAATCAAATTCGGAATTTCGCCCAATTGCAATTCTGTGCTTCCTTTCAAAAATATTCGAAAAAATCGTGCAGGAACAAATGTCCGAGTATCTTCAAAGAAACTCACTGCTCAGTAATGTTCAATCTGGTTTTCGTGCGGGGCACAGCTGCACCACTGCTCTTATAGAAGTTTCAGAGTCTATAAGGTGCGAGATTGACGAAAATAAGATATGTTTTCTTGTTCTGCTTGATCACTCAAAAGCATTTGATACCGTCGACCATCAAAACTTGTGTTTTAAACTTCGTCGTTTTTTTAATTTTTCCACAACTTCTACAAAACTAATTTCGTCCTATCTCTCAAATAGATCTCAGTCAGTTTACACTGGAACCTTGATCTCTAAACCTATGGCTGTAAAAAAAGGAGTCCCCCAAGGATCCATCATAGGTCCACTCCTCTTCTCCTTATATGCGAACGATCTTCCTGATCAACTTCACCATAGTCAAGCACACATGTACGCAGATGATGTGCAAGTATTTTTGAGTAGCTCCCTAAACAATATAAGTCAGTATGTAGAAATTCTTAATCAGGATCTCTCTAGATTATGCAAGTGGGCTAAAGCTAATGGCCTATTATTGAATCCGCTTAAATCAAAATGCTTGATCATTCACAAAAACAGAAAAATGTCATTGCAGCATACTGACATTCTTGTCAACAATGAAAAAATCGGGCTGGTATCCAGCGCCAAAAGAAAAATTATACCTTTTCGTCGGAAGAGCCTGGTTTCTGAGAGACAATTTTACATTGGCACGATACGCGATTGGAATGCTCTACCATCTGATTTGCAATGCATTAACAATATAAGTAATTTCAAAAAACGGCTTGTACAACATTTTTCATAATTGAAAACGTTAGGTTTGATCATACAATTTATTTGATTTACTAATCGTTCTTTTTATTAACAAATGTAATAGAAACATTTTTTTTATTTTTTATTGTAGTTCAATTTTTTTTTAAATTATCTCAACTCAATTAATCATATTTATTATTTTCCATAATGTATCCTTTTTCCATTCTTACCACTTTTATAATATCTAAGATACTTATTATTAAAAAATTATGGACATGTGATTATATATATAATCCTGTACTGCCACTTATAAGACTTTTGTCTTGCTGTACAGGAAAAACATTAATTAACTTAATAAATAAATAAAATATTGCACCAAAAAATCCTCATAAAGAAGGTTAACCCGGTAAAAAGGATTTATTTGACAATTGAATCCCACTGGATTAACGAATCCGGTTAAATGTAAACGTAGTATAATGTAAATTCCGTTTAAGTATATGCTAAAGTAATTATTTGCTCTACAAAGTTTTTGGAATTTTTTTATCAACAGCTTATGAGAACACTGTTACTCTGCCAACATTATTTTATTGGTTAAACAAAATTGTCCAATATTTTATAGATGAATTTGTTATGCTAATGGGAGAAATTTCTATAAAAATTGAAAAATGCCACAGATATTATGAAACCGGTGAAATGTATATCTATAGTAAACAAATAACATGTGACAAATCAACTTTATATTATTTTAATACTAGTCTATACAGCTAGGATTTGGTACATCGATTAATCATATGCAACATCGAGATCATTTCAAATACAACCCTGCTTTTCCACCAAAAAAAAAAAAAAATAATAATAATAATTTCTTTAAAAGTAATCCTCAAAACACTTAATAATTAAAATAAAATATTCCAAAAATGTTCCTAATTTATATTTATTACTATTATTAAAAAGGAAGAAATGTTACTATGCATAAAATATTTGCCTAACAAAAGTATAACAGCTGATGAAAAATCTATTTTTTGTAAAACATTTGACGAAGGACTCATCATACAATATCAAGGATGCAATTGAATTTAAATCCAAAATAAAAGAGGTGAAAATTGATAATGACGAAACATTAATATCATTTGACGTAGTGTCGTCGTTCCCCAGCGTTCGAATAAACTTAGCGCTCAAGACGATCGCCGAAAAATGGAACATATTGAAAGACTATACCAGCATGCCAAAAGATTTATTTATAGAAATACTGACTCTTTGTATAAAAGACTCTAGATATTTTATATTTCAAGACAAGGTGTACGAACAACGCAAAGGACTTCACCGATTATAGCTGACGTAATAATGGAGGAATTATTGGACGCTTCTATAGAAAAGATGACGATGAAACCAAGGATATTAACAAAATACGTGGACGATATATTTTGTATTGTGGAAAAATACACTAAAACGGAATATACATTAGAACATTTTACCGCGTTAACCTTCTTTATGAGGATTTATTTGACATATATTCAAAGGAATTGACAATTGAAACCCACTGGGTTAGCGAAATCCGGTTAAATGTAAACGTACTATAAGGGTATTGAATTCATTCGACAAAACATACAATTTAAACATGAAATAGAGAAAAATTACAAACTGCCATATCTAGATGCAATGATAATCAGACAAGACAATGAACTTAAATTAGATTGATACCAAAAACCAACAGCATCTGGACGACTTATAAACTTGTATTCTAATTATCCACGAAGAGTAAAGATAAATACGGCAACAAATTTTATACCTAGAGTTTTCAACATAAGTGACCAACAATTCCACCAAAGCAATGAAATAAAAATAAGACGCATATTACAAAAGAATGATTTTCCACGAAAAATAATCGACGAACTACTAAAGGATATAAATCTACTAAAGTATATAAATCTTTAACTTACAACCCAGGATTTTCGGAGAGATTTTGCAGATCTAATGTGTACAATAAGGACAAATTCCAGATAGCTTTAAAGACCATCAACACTGTCAATAATATGTTCAGTAAAACAAAGACAAAGAGAAAAAAATTATCAATTATGAAAATATTGATTGAAAGATTGCCACAGAAGTTATGAAATTACTGAATTTTTTATGTAAACAAATAACAGCTGACAACAGCTAGGATTTGGTACCTCGATTTAGAATAGCGCCTTTAGGGCGTATTTCTGAATTTCATTAATTGAGTCGATTTAAAATCGCAGTACGTTTACATTATACCGGATTTCGTTAACCCAGTGGGTTTATAAGTAGCCAATTCCATTGTATCTATGCCAAATAAATCCTCATAAAGTCGGTTAACGCGATAAAAAGTTCTAATGTAAATACAGTTCAAATATATTTTAGCAGTTTTAAATTAAAAAAAAAAGTATTAATACTTTGGCCCGAAATGTTAACTAATGCCCACCTCGCATTATACTTACCATTTTCTTAAAACTTAACAGCGTCATCGACAATAGGAAATAATCCAAAAATATACAAACAAATATCAGTGTATTAGCAGCATAGAAGACACGACGATTACGATCGGTAAAAATGGGATGCCATTGTTTTTCGAAATATAATTTTGTATAAATTCCATAGAGTAGGCAATTATAATTGAGACCGTTCAAAACCAATAATTGTCTTTGTAGGATTTTATTAGTGGAACTCAAATAGTTGGCAAGGGCATTAGTTCCATCTGCAACATTACGATATACCTCAACAGGAGTGGCTTCAGGTTTCTCCTCTATATCACATTTGTTGATAATTTCATTATTTACATCGATCGATGTGAAAATTTCACTTGGTGTAGTATTATCTTTTAAATCTTCTTTTAAGACAGGATTTATAATTTCAACAATTACATGTTTCTCCTCTTTTTCGGAATTTTCCATTATCAGCTGATCTTTAAATTCCGAAAGTTTTCTCCTAAGCAACCACAATTTTAAGGTGTGCATTCTCAAAGCACCAGCCACCATAAAATGTGGTATAAATAATGACATCGCAATCAGGATATGATCCATCGGTGGCAATTCAAATTTCATTTCTATGGCAATGTACAAACCAAATCCAAAAGCCACCAAGAGATTTGAGAAGAACATTAGATATGTTAATAATTCATCACGAATATCCCTTTTCTTAGAAACATTTTGTGGGCCACTGTGGGTTACCACTAATATCTCAACTAAGCCATTAAATACTTTTGTCAAGAACTTCCATTCAATTATGCAAAAAATGAAAGTTTTCAACCCCAACCATATTTGAAAATTTAGTAGATTTTTTAAAAATGGTGATAAGTCCAATGTGATTTTCATCAATGCCGATTCTTCGAAGTGATGTTCAAAGGATATCAAATAAATGACAAGGAGACAAAGAAAATATATCACACTACATATGGATACACGATAACGCTGACTCTTAACATCCAAAGTACGAATTTGATAGCCCGTCAATGGCAAATAGCCAGTGGTTACGCGTAATATCCGTTGATAGTTCATTTTTGAAATGTCGATTTGAAACTGATTTCAAACTTCAATGAATTTCGAACAAATAAAATAAATGGCTCGATTAAAGTGGAAAGATCAAAATCAGCGTTTGTGTGTAATGGCCCATAACAGTTGACGTTAAATAGTTAATGGGAATTCAACATTAGAATTTGGGCAATTGAAATAATTTATTGCAATTGGATTTTGTTTATAAAAAATAACTTCTAAGTATTCCCAAGATGACCAAATGGTCGCCAATTAATGATACTAATTTATTTTCTATAATAAGTACATGCTAAACTAATTATTAGCCTTTTAAAGTTTATACAAGTTTTATTAAAACTTTATTAGAACACTGCGTTTACATTGTACATGATTTCGTTAACACCATTGGTTTAAAATTGTCAATTCCATTGCATATATGTCAAATAAATCCTCATAAAGTAGATTAACCCGGTAAAATGTTCTATACATTACACCCGTTTTTAGACTATGTCTTCTAAATCGACTCGATTTGTTAATCGATGAACCAAATCCTATCTGTTTAGACCAGTATTAAACGGATATAAATTTGATTTGTCAGCTGTTATTTGTTTACGAATACATACACATTTCACTGCTTTCATAATTTCGGTGGCAATTTTTCAATCAATAATTTCATAATTTGAATAGGAATTGCTCCAAATTAGGTCAAAAAATGCTCAAAAAAAATTCTTTTTTTAAATTACAGTAATATTTATTATAAAATTAAAATAATCCAAATTTGTCATCAGCTGTCATATTTTCGGAGTTGTAACATATTTTGTAGCACACTTTAATGATAAGTCATTTCGTCTGTTCCGTAATTGCAAGAATCTACTACTTTTTACTACGATAACGAATTTTCCTTTATGATATCGAAGAAAATAGTAAAATCGAGTAGATTCTTGCAGTACGGGAACAGACCATTCATTTTTTTGGTGCAAAAACAATGTTGTATTTGAAATTATATGGATTTAGCATGGTAGTACGTTTACATTATACCGGATTTCGTTAACCCAGTGGGTTTCAATTGTCAATTCCATTGTATATATGTCAAATAAATCCTCATAGAGTAGGTTAACCCCGTAAAAAGTTCTTATGTAAATGCTGTTTAGGATTTTGAGCAAATGGAGATGTTTAGTGGATTTAATTTTGTGAGGTAATAGTACGTTTACATTTAATCGGATTTCGTTAACCCAGTGGGTTTCAATTGTCATTTCCTTTGCATATATGTCAAATAAATCCTCATAAAGTAGGTTAACCCGGTAAAAAGTTCTAATGTACAAGGAGTTTAAGTAAATTTAAATTTAGCAATTAAATCGAAATAATTCACCTTATTTCTGATGGTTACGGGGACCCCCCCATTCTCGGGGTCAACATTTTTGTTGAATTAATTCCAATCTACACTAATTCAAGAATGTCCCTACAAAATTTCAAGTAAAAATCTCAAGAACTCTTGAAGATATAGCCGATTTATTGTGTCAGCATCAAGTGACGACTGGCGGGCACGATAACTCAAAAACTAATAACCCAATCGATTTCAAATTGTTACACGTTTCTCTGTGAGTGTATAGCTATCGTATGAACTAGGATAAAGCCAATCGGTTAAGATCTTCCTTATTTTTTAACTTGGTTTTTGGTAAAAAATCGGCGATTTTCCAAAAATATTTTTTCAAAGGTCCGCCATTTTGTTAATTTTAGAGCGAAGTCAATAATCCTAGTTCATACGAGAGCCAGACATGCACTCTTTCTAACGCCGTTGGTATTTTCGGATTCCGATGTTCCAGTGAGGCGTTATCATGCCCGCCATCAAAAATAAGGAATTTTCTTTGATCACAAAAAACAACAACAAAATTTTTTTCTTGAAGAAATAAAATCGAGAATGGGGGGGCGGGGGGTTCCCTTAAAAAACTGATATTTAAAAAAATCCACGGATATTTAATATGGCTCGGATTTCTGTCGAAAATAAAATATGTAGTTGACTTCATGACCTTCGTCTATAAGGCTTCCAGCTTCTCTATAAGGATTCCGTGATTCCTCTCTCCGATAAAAACTCCTTCAACTTATCAATAAAGACTGCCATCAGCTTGTCTATAACGATTCTCTGGCTTTCAGTTCGTCTATAAAAACGCCATGCCCTTAAGTTTATTTATAACGAATCTCTGCCCTTTAGTTTATCTATAAAGACACACTCTAATTGAGAAGTGTGTAAAAATACAACGAATATACACAAAAAAGTACGATAGCGTTGATGTTTAAACATGTATTCTCACTTTTCTCTTCGTCAGTCAGTGATTTTTAGTTATGATCTCCGACCCATTTACTCTCAATTTAGCTCGTCTATAAAGACTCCCTGCTTCAGCTCGTCTATAAAGACTCCCTGCTTCAGCTCGTCTATAAAGACTTCCTGCTTCAGCTCGTCTATAAAGACTACCTGCTTCAGCTCGTCTATAAAGACTCCCTGCTTCAGCTCGTCTATAAAGACTCCCTGCTTCAGCTCGTCTATAAAGACTCCCTGCTTCAGCTCGTCTATAAAGACTCCCTGCTTCAGCTCGTCTATAAAGACTCCCTGCTTCAGCTCGTCTATAAAGACTCCCTGCTTCAGCTCGTCTATAAAGACTCCCTGCTTCAGCTCGTCTATAAAGACTCCCTGCTTCAGCTCGTCTATAAAGATTCCCTGCTTCAGCTCGTCTATAAAGACTCCCTGCTTCAGCTCGTCTATAAAGACTCCCTGCTTCAGCTCGTCTATAAAGACTCCCTGCTTCAGCTCGTCTATAAAGACTCCCTGCTTCAGCTCGTCTATAAAGACTCCCTGCTTCAGCTCGTCTATAAAGACTCCCTGCTTCAGCTCGTCTATAAAGACTCCCTGCTTCAGCTCGTCTATAAAGACTCCCTGCTTCAGCTCGTCTATAAAGACTCCCTGCTTCTGCTCATCTATAAAGACTCCCTGCTTCAGCTCGTCTATAAAGACTCCCTGCTTCAGCTCGTCTATAAAGACTCCCTGCTTCAGCTCGTCTATAAAGACTCCCTGCTTCAGCTCGTCTATAAAGACTCCCTGCTTCAGCTCGTCTATAAAGACTCCCTGCTTCAGCTCGTCTATAAAGACTCCCTGCTTCAGCTCGTCTATAAAGACTCCCTGCTTCAGCTCGTCTATAAAGACTCCCTGCTTCAGCTCGTCTATAAAGACTCCCTGCTTCAGCTCGTCTATAAAGACTCCCTGCTTCAGCTCGTCTATAAAGACTCCCTGATTCAGCTCGTCTATAAAGACTCCCTGCTTCAGCTCGTCTATAAAGACTCCCTGCTTCAGCTCGTCCATAAAGTCTCCCTGCTTCAGCTTGTCTATAAAGACCTCCTTCAGTTCGTTTATAAAGACTCTCTGCTTCAGCTTGTCTATAAAGACTCCCTGCTTCAGCTCGTCTATAAGGACTCCCTGCTTCAGCTCGTCTATAAAGACTCCCTGATTCAGCACGTCTATAAAGACTCCCCGTTTCAGCTCGTCTATAAAGACTCCCTGATTCAGCGCGTCTATAAAGACTCCTTGCTTCAGCTCGTCTATAAAGACTCCCTGCTTCAGCACGTCTATAAAGACTCCCCGTTTCAGCTCGTCTATAAAGACTCCCTGCTTCAGCTCGTCCATAAAGACTCCCAGCTTCAGCTCGTCTATAAAGACTCCCTGCTTCAGCTCGTCTATAAAGACTCCCTGCTTCAGCTCGTCTGTAAAGACTCCCTGCTTCAGCTCGTCTATAAAGACTCCCTGCTTCAGCTCGTCTATAAAGACTCCCTGCTTCAGCTCGTCTATAAAGACTCCCTGCTTCAGCTCGTCTATAAAGACTCCCTGCTTCAGCTCGTCTATAAAGACTCCCTGCTTCAGCTCGTCTATAAAGACTCCCTGCTTCAGCTCGTCTGTAAAGACTCCCTGCTTCAGCTCGTCTATAAAGACTCCCTGCTTCAGCTCGTCTATAAAGACTCCCTGCTTCAGCTCGTCTATAAAGACTCCCTGCTTCAGCTCGTCTATAAAGACTCCCTGCTTCAGCTCGTCTATAAAGACTCCCTTCAGCTTGTCTATAAAGACTCCCTGCTTCAGCTCGTCTATAAAGACTCCCTGCTTCAGCTCGTTTATAAAGACTCCCTTCGGCTCGTAGTGGAAGTGTTGCAAATGTGGTATAGGTTGGTAATGTGGTATAGTCACTTTTTTTGTAAACTGAAAATTGTAGAATAAGTGAAACATGTTCTATAGTTTGCTGTTCTCAAAAAAATAAGATAGCAATGATCTGTTTAATTTATTTAAATCACGTTGAGAATCAGTACCAAAAATAAAATTTTTCTAGAAATTGACTTTTTTCGGTTGAAGTTTAAAAATAATTTTTTGTTTTACGGATGTAAATTAATCGTTATTACTAAAGCATTAAAATAATAAATATGAACTAAAAATCAAATAATATGCGCGATTGCACCACATAATCACCAATTTAGGAAAAAAACTAGACATTTCTCCAGTAAACACAAGTGCAGGTAATGTGGTATACCTTGAGTCTGTATGAAAAAAAGCCAGCACAAGACAAAATCTCGTTACTATTTGAAACATTTGTACTCTA